TTGAAATGTTAATTAAGGTGTCCACTTACATATTCGGTTAATAATTTTTATTTGTTTAAACAAAATTACTTTGTTACAATATAATATTCTAATACCAAAAAAAGTACTTACGTAACGTGAAAATATCTTTTGTGATGTAACCCTTTCAAAAGTACATAAAAATGATTGGCAGCAGGGGTGTACATGTAGATTTATTAAATACACCTTGTGCGCCACCTAGGAACCAAATCTAGAACCCGACACTCGAAATTTTTGCTCTGTTACAATCGTACCCTGTTACAAATGACCCCACTCTCCCCTACTGTTAAACCAGGATGTTTTAAATTATTAGAAATTTAGACACAAAATGTTGCTGAATTTCAGCTAATTTTTAAATAGCATTAATGGCCTCCTGCACTGTGATATACCTGAATAAAGCTTATTATTTGTGTGTAATGGTAGGATAAAACACTCGTGTAATGTATTAAATCAAGAATAAAAATTTAAAATGCGTTCTTTGCTAACACTGAAAAACATTTCCCTTGAAAGCAAAGCAATTCCAGTGATCAACAAACGTAGGAGTGGTAAAAACTCAATTCGTTTTTATTTATTTACGTAATTATTCAATCCTAATTAACACAATGTAAATTATTAATATTTAAAACAAAATAATTGGTTGATCGTATTGACTTTCAATTGAAAAGCTTAAAAAATATGCTGGAAAAAATTGCTAATAACACGTTGAATGGTCACGCTAATTTTACATGGCTTGCTCGTCTGGCCAAAGGGTAAATAATTACACACTGAATTTACAAATATTAGATTTTGCTAGTTATTTAAAGAGTTTTGCATGACATAGCATGAAAAAGTGGTGAATACTATAATCTAACGAATTGTTTAGAAATAGTGGTAAATAAAAATCTACTAAATTGAATTTATTAAACCAATAATCACAATAATAAACTACCACTTGAAAATATTTATTCGCCGTCCGGAGCAAGTTGGCATCTCTGTGTATATAAATAAAAGTATTTTTGCATGTTTTATACAGCATTAATTTCTTCAAACCATTTTAGTAATGATAATAATAATAAAAAAATTTACTCGATTTATGTGTTTCTAATAATCTTGGCTTCGCCGGTCACCGGTGACCCCCTTGACGCTACAAACAAACTCAGTGCTGGTCACCAGTGACCTCCATAGCATTCATTGTGTTAAACCAGAATGTTGTAAATTAGTAGACACAAAATGTTGCTGAATTTCAGCTAATTTTTAAATAGCATTAATTGCCTCATTCACCGTGATATACCTGGAAGAAAGTTCATTATTTGTGTGTATTTGCAGGATAAAACACTCATCTAATTTATGAAATCAAGAATTAAAATTTAAAATATATTCTTTGCTGGCACTAAAAAACATTTCCCCTGAAAGCAGAGCAGTTCCAGTGATCTACAAATGTAGGAATGGTCAAAACTCAATTCACTTTTATTTATGCAATTATTCAAACGTAATTACCGCAATGTAAATTATTAATATTTAAAACGAAATAATTGGTTGATGGCATTGACCTTCAATTGAAAAATATGCCAAAAAAAGTTGCTAATTTTTTTATCTTTTAATAGATTTTCGAATTTTATAAGTCACCACTTTTTACATTTTTTAGTGACTTACGGCATCGCTTCAAATCGGGGAAATTTACATTAAATAGTTTCTACTGCATATATTTATTATCAAGGATGCCAACTGCTCCGCTTTCTACCAATGTTATAATAAATGAAAAATACTGAACTAAAATAACTTGAATCTTGTTACCACAAGAAAATATTTTTTTTACGAAGCGGAGCAAATTTGCATCTTTGCCTATACCTACACAAATTCTTTAACTGTGCACCAGCACTGATGAGTGGAGGTTTCACTTTAACCCGTTTTGTCCCGAATTTATATATTGAAATGATACAAAAAGAGGTTTTATGGAAAAAGAGGTATAATATATTATCGAAATTAATTGGTTTTTCCACTCTTAGGGCATTCAAAAAGTCTTTGATTGATCAAAAAGTACTTGCTCCTTATAATTCCGGATCTAATCAGAAATAACTAAATCATTGTGGTATCTGAGGATCTTTTAATTCACCCAGATGAATGAAAATGCTGAAAAAAGTTTCCCACCACAATGAATGTCCTTGAAAAAAGGAACTGTCCTATATCTAGGACACTGGGCGTTAACCGGTTAAAGTGCCTAAGCAGATAAGAATTTTGACGATTGTTTAATTCCTCTGTTCCGGAGGCCAGTTCTCCTGGAACAATATCGATTAAATTTGAATCAAGTGATTAAGATCACACCTCTTAAGGAACTAAGTATTAAATCTTTACAATTTTAACATTTAGAGTGGTAGCTGTTTTCTGCTGATTAATTTAGTAAACTGAATTTACTTCTCGAGGAAAAAAAAAACAATTAAGTGGCCGACAGACAGATTTTTTGAATTATTATTATTTTTCACATTTTGTTAAAAAATTATAACACTCAGTAAGAATTATTCATCCGTTTTGCAGGTGGCAAGGTTGATTTAAAACATTTTTTCAAGAATGGTAACGAAGGGAGCAAGTTGCTGTTGACCCTCTTTCAAAGTAATCCAGAAAAACAAAGACTTGAGAGATATGTTAAAGTCTTGGTATGTATAATGTTTTCTTCACATTTCCTATCCCTAATACGATCCAGTGGTACAATAAAATACTAGTTAAAGTGGCAACATAATTTATAAAATAAAATTTGATCTTTGCTTTTAAAGTTATATCTTAACTCGCTAACTAAAATACATAAATACAAAGTGACAATTTGAAGAATTTCTAAATCAATGAAAATTCCACTTGTTTTGATGATTAGTTTACGAAAACAGATGAGTGTACGAGGTCTGCCAATCACAGGAAGCTGTGTTAAAAAATCGAAAGCAGACGGATGCTACGCCGTGGTTAAACTCAAGGTTCTTAAAAAAGGATTTTTGGGTTATTGGGAGGAAAACCAAAACATTTTAAACAATGTTGCGTAACTACCACTGCAATTATTAATCTACTATTATAAAAAAAATGCTAACTCAATAATTGCTTGACATTTCTAGGTAAATTATTGTTGGCATTGTCGTTTAATATTTTCCACCTAGACATATTTCATACTGATCCGAGCCTGAGCTTATACTGTCTATTATAAATAGGACCAACGACGTATGTTTCACGTCACACTTTGCGCATAACTGCGTAAACAAAACGAAATTTTTTTTCGACCACCAAGTTCAAATCCTCCACTTTCAATAAGAGTTTTGAGCCCCCTATATTTTATTAGTTTTCTTTTTCTTAAAAGTCGATAAAAAAGATACTCTTTGTTAAGAAATTTATATATTAATAATGAGGTACGGTTTGTATATATCAGAAACCATACCACACTTATAGATTAATTTATTTGCAATGGTTTAATTATTTGCAATGGTTTAATTTCCCCCCATCCCAGAATATTGGAAATAGACATTTTTCTCCTCTATTTAAGCCTAGTTTGTGAAAAATCTTTATGTGGATTCTATAAAAAAATTGGAAATCAGCTCACCAAACAATATAAAAATCAGTCCGTACATTGCAATCACTTTTTTTTCCTCTCAAATTGTATAGACCTGTTTAATTAAACCAAATGATAAGAAAAAATGTAATTTTTTTGTCATGTGATTTCTAAAACTCACATGCTTAGTTAAATTGGACAATCGATTTTTAACCCACATGTGGTTTAGTTAATTGGTTGTGTGTATATCCAATATTTTACAAGTTGGTTGTGTGTATATCCAATATTTTACAAGTTGGAAGTGTGTATATCCAATATTTTACAAGTTGGAAGTGTGTATATCCAATATTTCTCTACCGAAGTACATCGAAAAACCGGTTTTGCTATGCGGAGAAGATTGTAGGTTAAAATACGACTTTTGTGTGGAGTACAGTTAGTGGGTTAACCCTTTCAATACGGCAAAAAATCAGACCGAGTGCTCCCCATTGACGGGATCAGTTATTTCTCCTCCAAGCGATTATTAGATTGAATAGCTTTTATGCCTAGAAAGTTAAAGATCTTGGAGACGCATAAACGTCCCCATAACAGCACAACATAAATAACAATTATTTCACAAGCTTCATTGATGGGACAGCATATGTCCCGCCGTAAGACAAAAGCATCTAAATCCCGGGACAGAGTATGTCCCGGCCGGAATTCTAGAGTCAATAACTCATTTTTATTGACATTTTACTTACCATTTTGATGATTATTTTAGGCAACGTCTTTTTTTTATTAACATTTTCATGCACATTTGTGTTAACATTTTTATTAACATATTTATTTATAAACACATTTCGAAATTAACTGTTATAAAATAAGAAAGGTAAAAAATTGAAAAATTTGAAAGTAGTGGAGGAACAACAGTATCTGAAGTTTGGATTTCTTGAGGGTGTGGTAGGGCTGGAAACTATTGCACAGTGCTACTATGTTGCAAGAGGTGCACACTATTTTCGAGCGTGCCTCTTTATTCACTTTTACGCACCATGCACATCAATTGCGCGTTTTTCCTTCAATTGGGAAATGGTTTAAAACATTGAAAAGTCTCATTGTTGATGATGATGATATAGTTTTGGAGGAAGAGGGCCTTCGCTTGTTCGCATTTCCAAATGTTCTTTCTTTCCATTTTTATACTTTTGCTCGTACATTGGGCAGTGTAAATGAATAAGCTTTTGTGAAAGATCTTGAAGTAAGAATACACTTTGGTGGCTTCGTTGCCAATAGAGAAATTTGTTTGGCTCTTGATGTAACTAACTAGTGGCATTCGTAGTGCAAAGTTAGTTGGATAGGACCATGAAAATGACGGTGGATTCTAGTTCTGGGGCTCAACTTCATCATCAAACAAATCATTATGATTGGGTGACACGACTTCATTGCCGGTCTCCTCTACACTGTTTTCAAAAGGCTCTCTAATATTAGCGAGCTGTCCCAACTTGTTTTCAGTTTAAATTCTCTTTTGACTCATTTCGACCCTTTTTCAGAAATGGTAGGAATCACATAAATCTCGGTGGGCTGCCGCGAAGCGGCATTAACCGATTCAACTGTAGTTATAAATCCATGATGGACCCTTTTTCAGAGGAAGGAGCCTTCGAATTGTTTAGAAATAGTGGTGGTTGAAAACCTAATAAATTGAATTTATTAAAACAATAATCACAGTTAATAAACTACCACTCGAAAATATTTATTCGCTGTCCGGAGCAAGTTGTCGCTTGCTTGATTAGATCTGGAATGATTGACGTGAGAAATTCATGGACTCAGAACGATGAGACCTTAAATCGGTTTGGAGCCCAAAGTGGGCGTTATTTTCTGTCCTAGATATTTTTCAGTAACT